GTATAGTGAGTTTGTAATGACTCTAGTCGCACTTTGCTGCTAACTTAACGATCAACATAATATAATAATAATTATCATTATTATTTTAACAATATTGAAAAGGAGAGAGAGAAAGAGATTTAAATGACCTACGTGAGAGAGAGAGAGAGAGAGAGAGAAAACGTGCTATAGAAAATGTTAAAAAAAAAAAATAATAAAAAGAGAAAAAAAAAGCAAAAGAATTAAGAGGATCACTCGAACGGCTCTGAATGTCTATTTTTTCAAACGCAATTGTGAAAAGAGAGCAAGGATCCTATATTATTATTATTATCATTATTATTAATATTATGATTATTATTGTTATTATTATTATTATTATTATTATTATTATTATTATTATTATTATTATTATTATTATTATTAATATTATTATTAATATTATTATTAATATTATAAATATTATTATCGTTATCGTCAAATTCGATGATTATCACAAAACGCGAGTGATAACTCATGAATTAGTCAAACTTGGTTCGATGAGAAATCGCACAAAGTATTATAATATATAATATAAAGTTATACAGTTTTGATTTAGCTTTTGCCATAAATCAAACATAAAAATTGCATCGTGATTAAACGAGAGAAAAAAAATAAATTTCCTTAAATCAAACCCTGACAATCCCATTCCTTCCTAGATTGTGTCTATCGTTATAGGACACTGTGTTAATGTATATATATATATACACATATATGTATATGTATATATATATATATATATATATATATGTATATATATGTATGTATATGTATATATATATATATATATATGTATATGTATATATAAATATATTTTGATCTGTCGATTAGTTACGAAATAAAGACTGATAAATACCTATCTAAGCGTACGATTTATTTCGTATAATAACGACGATCTTTTATTTCGTTTTTTATTTTAAATGATTATGACGAAGATAATTGAAAAAAAAAAGAAAAAAAAGAAAAAAAAATTTAATCGAATAATTTGTCGATCGATGGTAATCGATTTCCTTCTCAAAAGAAAAAAAAAAAAGAAAAAAGAAAAGAAAAGAAAAGAAAATTGCTATCGGACAAAAATAAATGATGGGTTAACATTTGACTGGAATGAATATTTATTAACTTCCCAATGAAATCTTAGGATTATATATAAAAAGATAAAAAAAGAGAAGGAAAATATCAAAGGAAGAAATAAAGAAAAATAATTCTTTTCTCTTGACGAAGTTTTCGCGGAACTGGCTTATATCGAAAGTGGTTTCCCGAATTGTTCGCGATCCCATTATCTTCCTAGATTTTTACCACACCGCGTGAATTCCATTAGGGGCTTGAGATCGCAAAATCGGGAAGAAAAGTGTCGCCTCGAAGGATTATCTTATTTCGTTCAAAGTGTCGAACAAAAAGTACAAACGAAAGAACCCGACGAGGAATCTACGAAGACCGAGATCAAAGTCAAAACTTCGAACAGGTAATTATAATATCTACATATTTATATTCATGTGATTACGTGTACAATTTACATATACAGGTTGCACTCGCAAGATTCATAATTACATTAATATAAAAAATGAAAATGAAAAATAGAAATTATTTGATAAACACGTGCACATCTATATTTGTAGGTATTTATTTATGTATGTTCGTAAAAATATTTCGTGATAAAGCTGCTAATCATTGAAGGAGGACATTTATTAATTGACATTTTAATTTTTTGTTTCGAGAACATATAAAGTCGACAACAATTCGTGCAAAATAATCTCCTAATAATAAAAGTTCTCTTGGCGTACAACGTAATTCTCTTGTGTTATCCTGTTAGGAGTCGTATTTTACGTACATACGTATGTTCATAGAAAAATATTCAACTTTATATGATTACGAATCAACAAATCCTTGATGTATGAAATTTCGAGTCATAAATAGATCATCCTGTATATTGTAGAACATTTCGTGAATTTATTTCTGAATAAATAATAGTCTTCTAATAGTTATTTCTAAATAATTTTCAAAAAAAAAAAAAAAAGAAAAAGAAAATAAAAAAAAAATAAAAAATGAATTGTCAAGTTTCAGTGTTAACAAGAAATCACGAAAATCGAATCCAACACAGAAGAATATTTTCAGAGCTTATCCTTTATTCGTTAGAAAAGGTGACAAAGTGATATTTAATTTTCAACATTTCACGAGCCCTGAAAAAGTTTTAAGGGAGTACATTCGCGTCAACGTTTACAACAAGTAAGATCTAAATAATTTTTTAATATATAAGAAAAAAAGAAAAAAGGAAAGAAAAAGAAAAAGGGAAGGAATAATTATAAACAAATTTTGTATTTTCAAATATCGTATAGAAACAGATTGGCCAGAATCGACAAACAGAAAATATCGGAAGCGTTATGTTCCTTACACTGCGATAATCAATTGGATTCTGATGTAGATACGTGCGATTCCAAATCAAAAATTATTTCTAAATACGATAACGCTAAAGAACGATCAAATAATGGGAGAAGAATGTCTGCGAGAAAAAATAAAATTAAACAGAATGTCGTACGTGACAATTTTCATTGACAATGACAAAATAATCTTAATCTACTAATTCAATGAATAATTTAATAATTTTATGCGTTTAATAGAATACGGAAAATGCACGTTGGATAAAAAGGACAGCACATACGTGGCAACCTATAAAAAGGATCTCTGCGACGAACAACATCGTATATGAATTCAATCCTTTTGGAAATGTTCAAAAGGACGATGCGTTAAAAGGTATTGGAATGTAAGAATGAATGATCATTGTTCATTAATATAAAAATGATAAATTAATTACCAATTAATCAATTTCTGGGACATCTATTATTATACAGATGTAAGAGTTTCAAAATCAACAACTACCGTTAAGAAAGATGTTACAAAGGGTAAAATTCGTCAAATTGCATCGTTACCAAAATTAAATCCCTCTATAAATAGTTCGATTAATGTTTTCGAAAAAGAAGAAAAAATGACAAACATATTGGAGGATCAAGCGTCTTTACCATTTATTTTAAACAAGACAACCCCGATGAAAAATAATAAAATTTCGAATGTATCGGGCAATAAACGTAAGTCCTATGATTAAACTCGAATTTTGTATAATTTCATCTATTAAAAAAAAAATAAAAAATAAAAATAAATAAATAAATAAAAAAAAAAAAATAAACACATCCTGCATTCATGAAATATTACGATATTATTTCTTTTTACATTCAGATAAAACGACATCATTGAAATTAAGTGAAATCGATCAGGACGCCCAGAATATGAAAACTAATTGGGACCAATTTCAAAAATATCAATATCGTAAAAAAAATAAATATATGTCAAATCCACGTATAAGAAAGTTATATGACATTTTGGAAAGCACTGCGTGCAATGTAAATAAAATAAAAAAAGACGCTGACTCGACGATGAATCGAGATGTATTAAAAAGTATCAATGAACATTCAAAGGAACCTAAAACAATAGTTCAACGAGACGTCGAACGTATTAAGAACAAGTTATTTTCAAAACGAGATCAATGGATTGATTTAAAATCTACAACCACAAATACTTCTCCAACCAAGGAATTATTTAAGGAAGATATTATAAAGGAAGAAAAAAAAGATATTAATAAAAAACGTTCGTTGTTTACAGAAAAACGATTATGGAATATAAACGATATCTTAAACTTCGAATCGAATTCATTAAATTCACATGAAAATGATTTATTGAAAGAAAAAATATCATCTAAAGTTACAACCGAGATAGAAAAATATTTAGATGATTATACTACGAATATTGATCAACTTGATACGATGAAAGATAAAAATCTTAATATCAACGTAAATGTATCTGTAAATGACTTCGACGAGAATCCTGAAAAAGATTTTGATTATGCCACTTGCATTAATGAAAAAGATATTAATAATTTAGAGAAATACGAAATTGAAACACATAAGAACGATAATGATATAGCAGAAAATATAGGATCGATGAGTGATACGAAAAACGTAGATACAAAATCAATTGAAACTTTTGACGAAAAGAATAATGAAAAATTCTCAGAAGGTAATGCATTCGTCGAAATGGGTTTTAATGGTCTAAATCTATCGAAAGATGTATTGGATCAAATCCTTCAGTCGGAATATTTAAAAAAAGATTTACTATCGTTGTATCCAATATAAGAAAAAATGTAAAGAAAAAAAAGAAACTAACCGAATGGCACGTTTTTTCTTTTTATATATATATATATATATATATATATATATATAGATAGATATATATATAAAAATTGCTTCTTAAACATTCTTTATGTACAATGTTGACTTATACAGAATATACATTTTTTTTCTATATGAAAAATTAAAATCTCATATGTATATATAAAATATATATATATATATATATATATATATATATATATATATTTATATATATGTATATATATATATATATATATATATATTTATATATATATATTTATTTAATATATATAATATATATAAATATATATATATATATATATATATATATATATACATATATTTATATATATTAAAACATATCACAAAATGTTACCTATTAATTCGTGACGTCATGATGCACAAATTAAAGACGATAATGTGCTATTTTATATTCATACAACACGTTCGTCGAGAGTTTTAACCATTAAATTACGGTCTATGCATCTAAGACAAAAAAAATGGCACTGTTGCAATTGTCATCACTTTGCACTAAACTGCATCGAACGTATATCTTCTATTACGAGTCTCTTAAAATATATTTCTGATATCTTGATATGTTTTTCAATGGTTTCCATGTAATATAAGTGTATACCATGTTGGATCTATATACTAAGATTCCAAAACTATATTGTTGTATATAATCTATATACCACAGTCTCGATGTAAATATACACTTTCAAATAAACAAATATGCTATCCTTTTCCTGGAACAATTGATAGTTCGTCCTTTGACAATGAATCATATCACAATACTGGAAGTGCTGAGCTATGACTTTGGTATATTATAGCCCCTGTGAAATTAATTGCTGCAGCTAAAACAAATACTGGCATCCATCGACCATGAGAAGCTGTTACTAATTCAGCCGTTAATGGACCACACAAAATACCAGGAATAGTTGCCTGGAAGAAATTTAATTGACGAATTAAAATTAATATATACATAGCCTTCTTAAAAAAAAAAAAAAAAAAAAAAAAAAAAGAATACGTACGATCGTATTTGAAACAGCGAAAGTAATTCCTGCGTGATTTGGTGCTATGTCTGCGTGATTACTGAGATGTCCAGAAGAATTACATGCACAAAGTCCCATTGATATAGAAATAAAACTGTTCGATACAATTATATATACAATTAGCATATAAAAATATATAATAAACATTGTATATTATTACACAAAGAAATATTTCAAAATGCTCACATTACTGCGGCAAGTAAATTATCAACTGCACAAAATGCTAATAAAAATGCTCCTGGCCCTATTAATCCTATATTTGTCATCAGTCTTCTTACAGACAAGACGGACCATCTTTTTTGTATAAGATTATCAGCACTATATCCTGCAACTGGATAAAAATTTTAATATTTATTATATTCTATAAATTTGTTTTGAAAAAAAAAAAAATAATAATAAAACATTTCTGTAAGATACATTACCAATACCAACAAGAGAATTGACGATATATGGAAGTGCTGTTAAACTAATACTTTCTTTATTAGCAGATATATTTCTCGCCAAGTAAGTGGGTAACCATTGCATAATTATATAATTACTCCAATTCATTGCAAAATGTGCTATATACAAAGCCCATAAAGGCCAATGCGTAATGAATTCAGTCCAACGTAAACTTCTATTTTGTGTTACCTAAAAGGATAATTAAAAAAATGTTATTTATATATATATATAAATTATTGATATTGTAAAAAGAATTTACCTTTGGTACAAAGAGAGGAATTTCATCCTGAGAATTGGTTTCTTGATATAATACTAGCCACAGCAAAGTCCAAATAATTCCAATACTACCAAATAAATAAAATCCACTTTGCCAGGACAAATTAGGACATATCTAATAATAAAAATTATAATAATAATAATAACAACAACAACAACAACATTAACAACAACAACAACAACAACAATAATAATAATAATAACAACAATAACAATAATAATAATAATAATAATAATAATAATAATAATAATAATAATAATAATAGTAAAGAAATAATTAATGCATTTTTATAAATAATCGCATGCAACTATAACTAAATTTTAAAAACACTTACAACCGATGCAACAACTTGACCAACAGAACCAGCAGCCACAAGATAACCAAATGCTCTTGATCTTTCTTCTATTGGAACACTGTGCGCAAATAAATGAAATATCACTGGCAAGCCTAAAACATTCACAATTACGTACCTGACATATTGAAATTGTTTGGTTCTATTAAAATCCTTACCTAATCCTTCGCCAAGGCCTAGAATCACTCTGCAGATTATAAGTAACGGAACAGATTGTGCCAAAAGAGGTGTTACAACTGTACTAATAGACCATAATAAAACGGCCAACATTAGTACTGTTTTACAACCAAAACGACTTGCTATACTTGCACCAATAATCTAATTAATATTATATAATATCAATTAACATTACATAACCAAATTATTCATTTAACATAATTTTCATGTCAATTAATTTAAACATATCTTATTCCATACCTGACTAGTAAAATAGCCAAATGCAAATGCGGATAATATCCATCCTTGCCAATGAAGATTCCATTTAAATTCATCTGTCATAAGAACTATGGCTATCGGCATAATAACTCGATCCGCTGCATTTATAAAATTCGCAGCAGAACAAAGTGCTACGATCCGCGATGTACGCGGAAGCATCCTAAATTTCGACATCTCGAAATAAATTTCTTTTTTTTTATTTATTAGAAAAAATTTCACATCGCACGACAGTTGCAAATCTAACCTCTATCAATATTTAAAATTTAAATATCTACTACGACATTGTAACAAGTGATACTTTTTGCTAACCTATTAAGAGCATTTTAAGAGTTTATCATCGAACAATCTTAACGCTTTTAACGATAATGATAAAGTTATTAAAGTTATGATAACTTGACCGTAAAAGCACACATACTATTACATATAAATCTTTGACGTTGTTCGACGTGTCAAACATCTAATTTCATCTCGATATTGATAACTCAAGTATCGATATACTCTCGATTTGGATATATCGATTATCAAACATTTTAAATTCGAAACTTTAACTAATCGATAGATAACATTCATGTACATATGTATCATCATATTATCTATTACAATGCCGATAATAAATAAATAAACGTTCAATTTATTCCCATTACTATCATCTTATTTATTTTCTTTCATTCATCTTTAATAACACATATCATTTTTGGTTCTATTGTATTAATTCGAATAAACAATCGATATTACCTATCGAGCAATAATTTATCATCGGTTTAACTCGTGAAATACGCATGCGCACATACTAATATTCTCGTCGTGTCGGCATGGTATATATATATAATATATGAACATACATATATATGCGATTCGGCAAAATTATCGGCAAAAGTGATTGTTCTTGTTTCGTGAAAGTTCATGTCAAGAAGAGATGGGACAACACGTTTCAAGAACAGACTTCGAATGGACTTATACCGAAGAACCACACGCTAGTCGTCGTAAAATAATATTAGGTAATAGAAAAAATATAACTTTTGTTATTGTATATTTTAACGTATACGAAACGTACGTACATGTATAATAAATTTTACACCGATCGTACGTGATGTTCTTATCGATAAATTTATTTCTGTGTACTCTGATTGTGCCAGAACATTTTTTATAAGACTTATCGATAAGGTCAGCTAATAATTATATCTAAGAAATTTTCAATTTTATTATATTGTAGAAAAGAGATATATATATCTTATATTTATATATTATGTATCTTATATATATATATATATATATATATATATATATATATATTAATATATTACACTATTTGTTACTTAAAATCATGATTTTTAATGTATATAATATATTATGATGTGTATATTTGTATACATATAATTTATGTTTTAATTGAACTATATTTATTTGAAATAATTAACATAAGAAATAGTTTGTATTATAATTTGATAATTAATCATACAAATATACATTTGTCATTATTAAGAATTAATTTATTGCCTTTATTACAGAAAAATATCCACAAATAAAGAAATTATTTGGTTACGATCCTCAATTTAAATGGATAGTAACTGGAATGGTTTTAGTACAATTTTTATCCTTATTTATCGCTAAACATTTAAGTTATCCACAACTTTTTTTAATGGCATATTGTTTTGGAGGTATTATTAATCATTCGCTTATGCTTGGTAAGTAAATAAATAAATAACAAACAATAAATAAATATAAGCAATTTGTTTCTATAAAATCTAATATACAATCCTCACATAATTTAGCAATTCATGAAATATCACACAATCTTGCCTTTGGGCATGCAAGACCTATGGCCAATAGATTGTTTGGAATGTTTGCTAATTTGCCAATAGGAATACCAGTATCTATCAGTTTTAGAAAATATCATTTGGAACATCATCGTGTGAGTATATTATATTAATAATCATTTGATAGATTTTTGTTAATAAAAGTCTTGAAATAACATGACATTTTTATATACAGTATCAGGGAGATGAAAAACTTGATACAGATTTACCAACTTTATTGGAAGCAAAATTATTTTGCACGACATTTGGCAAATTTTGTTGGATATGCTTACAACCATTTTTTTATGCCTTTCGTCCTTTAATAACTTATCCGAAAGCGCCATTAATGCTTGAGTATGTCAATTTAGCTATACAATTAATATTTGATGCAATTTTGTGGTATTTCTTTGGTAAGAACCTAGTAAATCTTTTATACTTTCAGTAGATATAAAAAGAAATATTTTTATATTATTGTAATATGTATATTTGTGTATATGTCAGGTGGTAAAATATTGATATATTTAATTGGTGGATCACTTATGGCGATGGGATTGCATCCTGTAGCAGGTCACTTTATATCAGAACATTATATGTATAGAAAGGGATTTGAGACTTACAGCTATTATGGACCTTTGAATTTTATAACATTCAATGTTGGGTATCACAATGAGCATCATGATTTTCCTGCTGTTCCTGGTTCACGATTACCTGAAGTATAATCTGTCATTTTACATGGAAAAAAAAAATATATATATATATATATTTACTTTTATGATTATAGAAATATACGTTTAAAATACATAAAATATATTTGTTTTCAGGTAAAACGAATTGCATCTGAATTTTATGATGATCTACCTAAACATAATTCTTGGACATCAGTATTATATGATTTTGTAATGGATCCTGAAATTGGTCCATACGCAAGAATGAAACGAAAACATAAAGGCTTAAATTCATAAAAAAAATATTGAACTTTTGCCAATAATTAGTATTTATAAATACTAAATTTACAAATTATTAAATACAGAGATTATATTATTATTATTGCACTTATAACAATGTAAGTATAATCATTATATAATATTAAATTCACCAAATTAAATTTAATAATCTTTTTAAGTCGCAGAAATCATAGGTATTAATTTTTAACAATTTAGATTAATTTTAATTGATTTAATAATATGAACTAACATTATAACGAAAAATCTTATTTAATCAAAATGATCAAGTTTTAGTAAAAATAGATATACAATCAGTGTTCATGAATTTAATATTATATGTAACAATGTGAAAGAAATAATTTAGCTACAATAATTATATTATATTTTCAAATTTTAAAAATGTAAATAAGATACGATATATAAGATAAGATATATAAAGAGTATTATTTATCTAAAGAAAATGGTACATTATTATAAATCATAAGATGAGATAATTTCTGAGATACAATATGATAACATAAACATATTACATAGATAAATTATGAATATTTCAGTAATATCATTGATATAGCTAAAAACAATTCTTTACTTCATACATACCATAGTATTCCTATTTCATTTCAAGAAAAACAAAATATATATGTTATTATATAAATATATTTATTGATTTAAGATCAAAAAAGAATTTGATATTACATAAAATATTACAAGTATCAATTATAATAAATTCTATTTTATATAACGTAACGTTTCAACACAAGTATAACAAAATAATATTTTAAATAAGATTTTAAGTAAAATTTTATAAAAGAGAAAGGAAACGAAGAAAATAATTCAAGTTACTATATTAAGTTACATATAATGGCGCTCCTTATATTTTTTGACAAAAAGAAAGAAACCTCCTACTATTATTGATCTTTATATAAACGCTTAAACAGTATATGTATGTTTTTATATAAACGCTTTAACAGTATATATATATGTGTGTGTGTGTGTGTATGGCGTGCGCACTCATGTGTTTTGTTTTTATGAAATAGATAATTACTTCTTTGTGTGCGTAAACTCAAAGCTCAAATTTTCTGACTTATTCCAAATGGTATTTGCCGTGCTCTCACACGTAGAGAAAACATAATTCATTCAAGTATTTTGATGAACTATTGACAGACTATTTTATGATAAAAATAAGAAAATACGTCTTCAGCCATTTATTAGTTTTTGATATATTGTTTAAAATTTATAAAAAATGTCTAGTTCCTTTTATATTTTTTTATATACGTACTAAAAAGTAAAATTCCTATAAGAAACATTTAGCAAATAACAAACAACTAGACATGTAATTTAGAAATCGTAGATTCTCAAGTCTAGATGGATTATATTTTCTTTCTTACTTTTCTTTTTTTGCTGTCAAAAAACACAAGTAAATTATTCTATTTTACGTATATATATTGTATATTATTTTCAAAAAAATTAAAACTAAAAGTTCAGTTTTATACTATCCGTGCGCTATTTATTATTTTCTTTTTCCTGTTGGAATAGCACATTTTTATATTATTATTATTACTACTAATAGTATTGTAATAATGGATAATTATAATACATATATATATATATATATAAATGTATATAATTAAACATTATATAAATCATGTATATTCTATATTCGATGCTAATTTATATATAATAATAAAAAAAGAAAAAATATATTTAAACAACAAGCTACAATTTAAACATTTTAGTCCCTAATGTCTCACATAGATCTCTTTCTTTCCTTCCTTTTGATTGCATTTTTATTATCATTCAAGTGTGATTATTCTTATTCTCATTCGATAATTTGACCACTTAACGATAGTTATATACCGATGAGATATGATGACAAATACAAAATGATTTTTTTATTTTTATCTTTTCGTCCGTTATTGTTTTCATTTGTATTTTTTTTTTTTTCTTATATCGGTTTTATTTTCATTATTATTGATTTTACGAAACACTGTTAATTAAGTATGAAATTTTATTAAGAAATCGATAATGAAGAAAACAAAAAATGATATATATATATATATATATATATATAATATATTAACAAATTTCGTCATTAAAAAGGATATGATGAAATAATCATTGATAAACGATAAATATTATAAAAATTAAATTCGCATTACATACCATACGATTTCTGTTATAATTTATTGTATAACTTGTTAAACGAAATTCCATAAATAAACGAAAAAAGTATCGAAAATGTGAAGAAATCGAAGAACACTTTCAGGAGATCCATCACTGTTGCCTTCTGCTACGTAAATGAAGACAGGACCAAGGTAGCTCTATTCTGATTGGTTGTTCGTCTTCCAGTATAACCACGTGACTCTTTCATTGATTTAGATAGGATATTTAAAATGAATAAAAACTAATTTACACGTCATATATTTACGTAAGATACAGTATAAATTATAAAAGTTTGATCATATGGAAAGAATGAAATCTACGATGTATTTGGATGGAGTATAATAAATTAACATTTAAATAATAATTTATTTATTTAAACATCTTATAGCTCGTAACAGGCATAAGATATAAAATACGTTTAATTTAATATTTTAATACGTGTAAATTTTCATTTAGGACGCGTGATCCTAATGTCAACAAAAACAAACTTTTTGCAGACTTCAATAATTATCGATTTAGTTCTCTTTTGTATTTCGACGAGTACATTTCGAAAATCACTCTTTCCTTATGGCCATGCTTTAATAATTTATAATTTTGATAATTTTTCAATAATTTCAATAATCTTTAATATACATCGATGTATAATAGATTAATATTTAAACAATTGTACAATCGCTTTAAACATTACATAGCATGGAAGACACTTTAAATATAAAATAATTTTAATTTAATATTACAATACCGTTAAATTTTGAACTTGGAATCGTTGTCCTCGCGTAAAGTAAACAAAAACGAACATTTGACTTACTTTATCTGTTATCGGAATAGTTTTCTTTTACATTTCGACGAGTAAACATCGTAGCTCTCTCCTTCCGAAACATAAGTAGACGTAATCGTGAAATAGTGTCAGTGTCGGTTTTAATATAGAACTCATCTATAGTTTCTTATTTTCATCAAAATTCTTTATTATCTTCATAAACGCATTGCCATATAATAGTTTAAACAATTATTTTATATTAATTATTCTAGTTTCTCTCGAGTGGGACTTTGGATGGGTCTCCTTTTTTCGGTAAGAACAATCTAACTGTATTTGTTTTGGATTTTATCAAATAAACGATCTTCAATTAATAATTATTTTATTATGTATTACATAAATAGTGAATTTTTTACGTAATATCATAGATATAATTAAAGTGATAGATATACAATAAATGATTGATAAAAATAATCATTAATATCTGATACAATAATTATATTTTGAAACAATAAATATACTTTTAGATATATTTCAATTAATATTAATTTTTTACTCCAATTCAAAAGATATAAATAATATAAATTAAACATTGTATATATAAATTGTACATTGATAAATGAAAAGTATTATTAAATGGATATTTAATATAAACATTTTTAAAAAGAAACAAAAGTTTATGCTAATAATTTTAATATATTATAATAAATGCTTCTTTTTCCCCCCTTACGCTTTTATATTTTATCAAAATGAAAACTATTTTTACTTTATTGCATTAAATTATTAAACATTTTATAGGCATGTGACTAGTAGTAAAATAGTACTGTATTAATTTTAAATACAGATATACATATAGATATTGAAATATTAATGTAAAAATAGTAGGATGACGATCTATAGTACTTATAATTCTCTTAGTACTCATGGTAATAATTGAATTAGATTTAAATATTTTGAAATAAATCTTTACTGCTTTTAAAAGCTTACTTTACCTCGAACTTTAAAGAAACCTAAAGCATTTCTATTATGTACTAATGCACCAATGCCACAGTAATTCTCTACAATTATAGATCCAGTAACCATATTGCATTCTTCTGGTAACAAACTTAGGACTGCTGCATGCATAGCTTCTACATCGAATTTTGCCTTTTCCATTTCAGAACCTATTATATTATTATAAATTATATTTCTTATATGACATTATCCATAAGGTAAAAGATTTATATATACCTCTATGCCAAAATAATGGATGACTGGCATATGTAAGCCATGGTATATTTTTCGCAAATGGATTCCATTTTTTACTCAGCGATAATGGATGTCCTTTATTCCACATAAGCCGTATTCCTAACATATGTCGCTTTCTGAAAAATCAAGATTATTTAATGATTTAATTTCGAAATTTACAAATATTCTTTTAAATCCAAATATCTAAATCGCATATCTATAAATTCGTAAAATTACGTTTACAATGTTGAACAAACGATTTTAAAACTATAATCAAAAAGTATAAGCAATTACAAAAATCATAACACAAACACACAAAACATAATGTAAAAATAGCACAACTTACATTTACATTTGTTGGCACAAATGACAACTCTTCAAAAAAACACAGAGCAAAATTTCAGATTAGATAAATATAATAATATGATTGCTACATAAAAAGATTGAATGTATCATAAATATAATAAAAATGTTTATAAGTGATATATACATATATTATCAAAAAAGCCATAATGCAAAAAAAAATAAAAAACGAACAGTTACAATTAAAGCAGGTATGAAATTCCATTCATTCTATTAATATACCTAGGCTCAAATTGTGTAAGATTGGAACATGTAGTGAGTGATGACCATTCTTGACGTACAGCACAATTAATTACGTATGACATAACTTCTGCCAAACCATTTAATCGTCTATAAAAAGTTTATTTTACTTATATCATAAAACAAAGAATATTAATTTTAATTATAGTAGCCCCTTAACATTTGAATTAATAATATTCATTTCATTGAACTTACGGTGTAAGAGATGACGAAGGATAAATCAGTTCACCTATAACTACTGTGTCCAGATTTATTAGGGGTACTTGACTGTACTCTAATATTTTTAATGAAATAAAATCATATTTCATAGAATAAAGATATTTAGTTGTAAGTAATACAAGTCTTTCTTTTTCTGTGTCCCATATACTTATTCTGTAAGTAAATACTTTTTTCATAGAAATATTTAGCAAAATTATATAATATCAATCATATCAATTTTAATAAAACTTATCTATATATTTATATAGATACTTATATTGTTAATATATTAAATATATTACTTACAAGTATGGATTATAATAAATAATCATACATAGCAATACTTACTCTGTTAAAAGCCAACTTCCAATAATATCATCACTACTGATCTCCTGTAAAAACTTATGACAATCTTTTATTGCACGTTCTACAACTTCTTTTCTGTCAGTAAAGAAAGTATGCACGTCCACATTTTTAAATGGAACATATGAGATATCTTTAGGAAATGAAGTTTGTTCTGCAGTTTTAGAGTTATCTTCTGTATCTATTTTTGTTGCAGAGGAGCCTGAAGATAAAACAATGTTTCTTATTAATAATGTAAATATGTCTCTAAATGTTTAACGCAATACTTGAAATTAAAGATATAGGTTATATCATAATGTAAACAATATGAACTTGTTAAAAAATGTAACATTTAGAATATCTTTGGGTATAAATATACAGTATTGACACAAACTTTCATTATTAAGTAGATTAGATAACATGATTTTCATTATTAAGTAGACAAAAACGTGTCATTATATATGAGAATTCTTGAGTTTAGACATATATTTTATTTAATATTTAATATATATTCTATTAAAGTATTAATAATATTATTGACAAATTATTTATAGTCTTACCTTCGCTTCCTTCTGGATCTTTTGCAATTTCTAATGTAGCTGTTTTAAAATTTACCGCGGGTTCATCATCCAAAGATACTTTATCCATTTCGTTGAATGTTAATATATCTTAAAATATTGTAATACGCTACACAACTGGATGTTTTCAATAAAGATTTATTTAATCTAATGTTAATATGAGAATCAAATTAATAACATTAATATATTTTTATTAGATACACAAACATTTTAACAAACCACAACACTCGCCATTTTTTATCGTTCTAGGTGGCGTATGATGACGTATTAGTAAAAAAGATACCACGAATGCAATAAAATAATTTTATATCCATAATTTATTATTTTCTATATGTATTTTTTTTCTGTAAATATATATATATATATATATATATATATATCTGCAATTTTATTAAATGATTTATTCAATATTTCAAATAAAAACAAATTGAAATTTATAACCACCACGTAATTAGACATAAATTAATTATGACAAAAGATTTATATATATATATATATATATATGTATAGCATTAAATATAGTTGTGCATATACACATGCTACTTTTAGATCACACCATAAATCTGTAACCAAAAATTTTTACTATTTTACACTGTACAACATAATAAATTTATAAAAAGTATTCGAACTTATTTAGTTATAATGTTATTTGTACATATATGATTATTTTACATATAAGTATTGTTATAACAAAAATGTAAATATATCAGGATCACAATACTTAAATTTCTTTAAAAATCACCTACTTTTATACATACTCCAGTTTTACAATCTCTTTACATTTTATCGCGATTTAAATACTTCATAATTTTATAGATAAATATAGCATATACAAAATTATTACATATATTCTGAAAGGGAGAATATTTTTTTTTATATATATATACACGTGTGTAATATATATACCTCTTCTTTTTACAGTTCTTTTCTTCTTCCTTTTTTTTTTCATATCAGTTTGTATAAAAATTATATGTACTATATGTGCGAGTTAATAGAATGTATTAAATTATTTAATAATTAAGTGCAGAACTATATACTACCAAAAATAAAATTATTTAGTATTCTTTATAACACAGCAGCATATTGTGCCTTGCATCAGTCTTATTACCAATTATTTTAAGCGTAATAAGGCATTGCTGATGTGCACTGTAAGAAAAGATCTTTTGACTAGTTTATCAAGAAAAGTAAATTATTCTCAAGTTAAATCCAAAACATTATTATATGACTACTTGTAGGATTGAACATCATCAAGCATATTGTCAGAAGATGAAAGTGTTAAACAGCGCTCTTCATGCATTCCCTTAGCATAATTGATTTGTCGTGAAACCTAAAAGAAAAAAAAAAAAAAAAAAAAAAAAAAAAAGAAAAAAATAAAGAAAAAAATAACATGTTTATAACCATTTTAACTTTTAAAAGATTATGTACTTACATGTTTAGCAACTTCCTCATTATCGCAACGAACTTTTGGTCTTCTTAACAGCTCAGAACCATCAACAGTTAATGATCCTGAATCTGTTCTAGATATTAATTCTATATAATATAACGTTGTGCCATTACTTTCATTTTTATGCATTGGTTGACAATAAAAAAGATCTGCTAAATTAACTTCAGTCACGACAGCTTTTGCTCCTCCAGAAATAACACGCACCCTTTCATTTGACACAAGTACTTTTAAACTTTCAGTACCGCTGCGTAAACATTCATACGCCAAAAGTAACTCTGAATAATCACGATTGTTAATACTATAAAGAAATTCTTGTCCCTCGGCCTGTTGTCGATTATAGGGTGGTAATAAAACAGCTGCACCACTAGCAATACGTGGAGGTCTGTCACGTTTTGGTATTGCACGATGAGCACTAAAAAATTTTATTTTTATAAAATTTCTGAAAACATATGCGTAATATATTATATAATTTTTTTTTTACTTCTCTATACCTTCTACTTGTCTCTCGTACTGCAGTAGCAGTTTCTGTAGCAAGATCTAATACACCCACGACTGGTTTTGTAATAGTTCCTACTACTCCTTTACCAAAGCCAGCAAAGAAACCCTGAAATTGTATACACGCGCGATTATTTTTATTTTTTATAAAAACAATATTTTTGACGAATTCAAGATCTTAATTCATATTTTTTTAAATCTATATAAAATCTATATTACATACTGGAAAGCCTTCGTTAGTAGCTCCATCATAGGTTTGTTTAAAAATACTTGTAACACCACCTAATAAGCCAAAGCCAAGTCCTTTCAGACCAGCAACTAAATGATCACTACTGCCTGCAGTATTTGCTCGAATTCTTTGCCTGGCTTCTTCGTGTCTCTCATCCATAATTACACGTCCTAAACCATCTGATAAAGATTCTGTAACTTTAGCTGCTGAATTTGATATACCGTGTGTGACATTTTTCACTAAAGTTTTTACACTGCCTTCATATATTAAACCAGAAACCCCTTCTGTGACATCGTTCATAAATCCAAGAGGATTACCCAAAAAGTCTACAGATCCTAATATAACAGCTGCTTGCCATTTTAATTCCTTTAAACAATTTGAAGTTAATATAATATATTATTGGAAAGTACATATATTTATAAAGTACATAAGAAAAATTAAATACTGTACATCTTTGTAATGTTTTATAATCGAATGCAATAAAAATTGGATATTTTCAAAAGGATGTCTTTTAACAAATGGTTCTAATTCAATCGTGGCATCTTCAAATTTGATCAAAGTTAAACCCAATTTTCTTTTTATTGCTTGAAGATGCGATGGCAATTTCGTAGTGGTCAGCACACTAAGCTTTACCTAAAATATTCAATTAGTAGCTTATGTCTTATATTCTTTATGTATTCCTCACAATATGTAAAACTTTACAAGTGAAAGAACTAAATTATTTTTTTTGTTTTTTTTTTTTTTGTAAATACCTGATTAGGGATTAGTTTTAATGCACCAAAATAATATCGTTTAGCATGAGAAGCAGATACTTCGGAAATAAATCTTTGTGCTTTAAAATCATTTTCATCAAGAGGTACTTCCATCTCTGATCTACCAGCTCCTACGAAAGCTGCTAACTTCAAAATTAATTTTTCTTCAAGATGTATACACAATGGTTTAATGGTAACTATCAAATGTTTGTAAATTTCGGCATTTTGATTTTTAGATTTTAATTTTTCTACAGCCACTTGTATTGCAGGTCGGTGATTATTTTCTGTGCGCGGAGAACGAGTAACATACAAAACAGATGTACATTGTGCTTCAACAAGTTGATTATCAATTTGCACATCTTCAACGCTTAAATCTAATATTGTATTAACGTTTGTTTGCGTGAGTTCCAAATTTATACCAGCGAATCGTGCAAACAATAATTCCTCAGGTGGTCTTTGTGATACAATTGATAATCCCAAACCTGTTGGTAAATTGACATTTAATCGCAATTCATGAAAATCGGGATTTTCAGTATCAACGCGAACATGCGTAGGACGTTGAGTAACAGCAATATGAGACCAATCACGTTCTTCGAGTAAAGCAAATGTCTTTTTCTACAAGATAAATTATTAAATAATTAAAAAAGATATAAAATGTTAAATAAAAAATATAAATTAATCAAGAGAGAGAGAGAGAGAGAGAGAGATTTCTTTATAACTTACCCTTTCTTTAATATCTAATATTTGTAAAACGCGTGTTGGACCATCAGTAATTACTTTCACTGATAAGAAGCCAGAACCTGGTCGTAATTTTTGTTTTCTAACTCGTTGTTCGACAGGTGGTGGATTCGTATGAGTTTGTGGACCTAATACGGCCTCGCTCCCTAATAACATATATTTAATAATTTACAAACGAATACATAGGATCGTATATACGTTTCAATTAATTTAATCTATTTAGCAAGAAATAATTTTATTATTAGTTATATGCGATAAAAAAAAAACTGTTACGCAATGAAATAAAAAAACAAGCCATGTTATTAGCTCATTATATATTGCATTAGTATATATAATACTTATATATAAATTTTTAGTGTACTTTATATTAATACGTACACATGTGCCAACGGGCAACACTGCCGCCTGTAACATTCATTAATTATTTAAGCCCTTTAATTAATGATTTATAAATTAATTATTTATTATAGGACTTATATTTTCTAAGCTGCATAGTTAAAAGTTGGCACATATATATCATTATTTATTTGCAACTAAATAATAAACGGCAAACGTATAAAGAAACATAAAAATAATGATAATAAATAAACTATTGTTAAAAATAAAATTCTGAACGGAAAAATTTTGCAACATAAATATATCTATAAGATCTGAAAATGTTAGAAATTTAATTTTTCTCTATTTTAAATCATACGAACACATACAAACCTATAATATATTTTATAAAATCTGTAAAACGTAATTTTTAAAATCCAACCTTCGTGTAATCCCATAAATCCATCTTTTGATTGGACACACATATTCCTATGTGCACAACACAATCGTCCATCATCCGTAAATCGCCATGTTTGTGTAGATCTTCGTCTTGGATCTGGTTTTCTTAATGCTAGAGCACAATAAGTAAATGGTTGTGGTGCTGTGCCTGCTATATCCAATACTAATACTGTATCCGGTGTTTTTGAATGTTTATCCCTTGGAGGACTAGAACCTGTTTAAATAAATTAATGTGTTAAGAACAGGAGTCATTTATATTATATAATAATTATTAATTAATTTTATTATTATATTATACCTTCATGTTGTAATTGTCCATCGCTACTCATTCTCCAAAGTTGAGATCTAGCACCGTATTGTTTTCTACGAAGAACAACCCAACCTCCAGGGCCTGCTTCCAACACCAATCTTTGTGTTTCTACATCTAATGGATCTGAACCATTATCTTCTGATCCAAGATCGCTATCATTTTTAAAAGTTCCTATTTAAAAACAAATTATATTTATACTTTGATGTTTTATATTATTAGTAAATATCACATAATAAATATCATATAATAAAACAATTATTACATAATATGCTTACCAGTGAATGCAATATAAATGAAATTTTCATATGTTAAACTTCGTCCATCTCCAAGTATATTTAGATCATATGAACCTGTAACGCTACCTGGGGCTGTTAGTACTAAACCAGTTGGTTGGATTGGTTCATCCAATGCATACGGTACAGACGAATGAGGTCTTACACTCCATTCTAAACTACCAGGTACAGACATCTATGAAAATAACAAATAATATGTTATGACAATTATTTTGTTAATGCTACGAATAGTCATAACAAATCGTTTACCTGATTTACTATCAATGGAACTTCAGAGAAATTGTCAACTCTTATAGGAGGTGGCATTGTGTCTGCATCCGTAAATACAATAAAATATGTACTTTCTTGCAGTACAACGTCAACTCGTAAAAAATTCATTTTTCCTATTGCATCTCTAATGTTGATTGTTAGAGAATAATTATCATCTAATTTAATACCACCTGACCACATACAATTTGGTAAATTTTTAATTCGAACACATAGTAATAAATCTTTATCGAGTCTTGGCCAATGAAATGGCATATGACAATCAGGCATTGATGTTATATATGTTGCTTGAGCATCTGGATGACTCTAAAAAAAAAAAAAAGAAAAAAAAAAAAAAAAAAAAGCAAAATAAAAGAAAGAAAAATTTCGATCTTTAAATTTTAGAAGAAAGATAAAATTAATGACAGATAAAATTAATTTGAATAGCACTTACAACTGTAGTAGTGAAACATCTCTGTGCTAATTCCAAAGTATAAGAAGATCTATTATGCAATTGATACCGTGGTGACAATGTAACAACTGTTGTAGCTCTATACCGTCCTCTAGCTGTACGCGTTGCTACACTAATAAGATATACGATGTCAGGTCTATTTTCACGTAATGTCACTCTAAGCCGATGTACCTATAAAAGATATATTTTAAATTCATCAAGAACCAATTAGAAGAAAATTAAAAAAAAAAAAAAAAAAAACCTAAAAGATAATATTTCCATTTCATGTTAAATCACAACCAACCTGTATTCCAGGTTGTAAGTGGAAGTGTTGAGACCATTGTGGTACACCATTTGAATGAACTCCAGCACCTACTCTTACTGATAAAGTTCTGCTAGCTTCTTCATCACTAAAGGAAAACAATAATGGTGCAACCATTCTTGCTTTCTCATGTTCCTCAAACTGACCAGCTGCTTCAAATCCAACACCTTCTTGCTTGAAGACAAGTGGCAAGCCCGTTTTATTAATAATCCAATATGGTGAAGTAATGTTAATTTGCACTGCAGAACCCTTCTCAACAATAATAGATGCATACAAAAATAATATTCTACTATTAGCATCCGTCAATTTAAGACGTGCTGTAAAGGAACCACTGTTTTGTGGCAAAAATATCTGCAAATATTCATCATGTTTATAATATAATATAGAAGCTGAACAATGTCAATCAATCAAAATAATTTACATACTGTTCCTGTACCAGGATAACCTTCTAAATGTATTATTATTTCTAATTGCTCATCAATATTTGGACAGTGTAAATCAGCATTGCCACCAGGTCGGATTCTACCACTTTCTATACCTGCTTCATATAACAACTCATATGGTAGTAAATTGGTCAATGTGATCGGTGCCATTATTATTATTGTATGTGCTGGCAATGTTTGACCAGTATCAATGGGATAATTATCACGTTTTACAGCTATACACATCCTATAAGAAAAAAAAATAATAGTATGATAATAATGCTATTATCAAACATATTGCTATCTTGCTTAAACTCACCTAAATATATTGGATTGATTACTTTTGCAGGTAATATGACTTTCAGTAACTTCTGACGGTTTTTTAATAATAGTCCAATCAATTGGTTCAATGCAATATTGAAATAAATTGTTTGGAAATGCTGGTCTAAAACTCATCTGCATGCCAATGTGCCCTAAAGGTACTGAAATTACAGACTGGGCAGGTATTTGGATAATTTTACCACTGATCGATGAATTTAGTGGCAAATCTATATATAACATATAATTACGTAAGTAATAATATATTAAATATTAATATTATAGATAATAATCAGAACTAACATCCAAATGGATTTAAGGACTTCTCCATCTTAATTTCAACCGAATATGCCAATTTGTTATTTATTTGCAAAGCTGATCTAACTGTGATCAATTTCCTAGCAGAACCTTCTAATTCAACATCAAAAACTATTCTGGTTTTTGAAGATATCATCTGAAATTTAAATATATGAATATTTCTACCTTTTTATTATATACAAATTGTCTTAATGATAGAATTATTATTTACCTGATTCTTTAGGACATCAACGGTTGCGTGTCGAAAATATATACCAACGCGATCAACAGTTACCGGATCTACTGCTGTCCAACCATCGACGACTACTGCTACTTGATGTCTTCTTTCGATATGCGTAGCATAATGACGCAATTTTCCTCTTCCTTCAAAAGTAAATGGTATTGTATTTCCCGGTGTTACTTCCATCCACGTTTCATCTTTTTGTAGAATACTCTTTGACTTAAAGTTTTTGCCAATGTCCTTTATATTATCCGCTGTGGCAATGAAAGTTTTAAACCATAATTTGGATCCAGTTTCATTTTTTAAAGCAAACGGAATAAAGGGTGACCGACGGCGATATCCTTGTCCACTTACTGTTGATTTATTTACACCATGTTCTCTACTAGATAAATAATAATCTTGTGTCCAATTGTGCTTAACTAACTGAACAAGTTCTACCAATGTAGATGTTACATTGACATTTACAGAGTCTTGGGAACGAATAAATACTTCCAGTCTTTTTGGATCAAGGGAATTAGTAAGCATTTGTTCCCATTGAAGATTGGCATTCCATGGCTCAATAAATGGTTCCCAACCACAAAGTACTCTATTGTAATAATCAATGGCAAATGTTGCAGATATTGAGCCCTGTCCTTGTAATATCAATGCACCTGTTTGTCTCCATGATAAATCAATAAGTGTTAACTCCATAAGTGGAACATCTGCATCTCTACAATCATCTATTACACATATTCTGGCACATGTTGTTTGTACTTCTATGACAGTAAACATAGATTCATTTTTCGAAGTAACATCAGAATTTGGTATTGCATTTTGCGTTAACCACAATGCCGCTTCATCCAATTGGCCGTTGCATCGTTCTAATGCATCTTTACAATCTGTTTCCGTAAACCCAAGAGCATTTAATTTTGATATTTGATTTTCCATATTATTTAATAATTCATGTGATCTCTGTTTAGCCCATAATGTCTGTTTTGGTAATGAATTTAACATTCTAGAAAACATAGTTACATCATGATAGCTTAATCTGACACATAAGGGTTGAAGTTGAATTTCTAGACATTTTTGTTGTGTTAATTCTATACTAGCACCAACAGGATCAATAATAGATAAAGCAGTTTCTTCTTCCAATCCCAAAATACAAGAGAATAATTCACAATGTGACAAGTTACATGATAATGGCTTTTCATCTTCTTGTGGTACAGTCCTATATGCTATAACAGCTGTACACTTTAATATTACAGCATTAGTATCATATACTGATGTATCCTCAACAAAAACTAATTCAGAGTCTGTTATATTCACTTTTATCTCTACTGGTAATATATTTAAAGAAAAATTACTATTGTCTTGACAGACAGTTACTTGAGTCATTCCTAGAATTGGGTCGGGTTCAGGTGAATTCAACATTACAAAATCTCTTACAGCTTCCCACCAATCAAGAATTGCTGTAAGTCTCATGCTATGTAAAAGAACTGTAGTTGTAGCACTATTATTACGTCTTCTATGATGTACTTCGGCTTGTACACGGTCCTGAATATTAGTAGAATCTTTTAATGGCTGCAAAATACTTGTAAAAACATTTGAACGTTTATTAGCAGGTTCATCCTGAAATCGCATATCGGTAATCAATATTTCTTGAGAGACTAAATCAATATCCTGTGATCCATCACTTAAAGAATCCAAAGTCAGCATTGATTTTATAAAATTGATACATGCTAAAGCTGCAATACCATGATTGGGGTGTAACTTTACTGTTACATTTACAAGTTCAAGAGTTATACACGATTTTGTCCAAACTTTCTCTTGATTATCTGTGGTAGGCATAGAATAATCTACCTTATCATCTAAATCTTGCATGTATAAACGTAGATCGTCTAAATTTTCTCCAATATTATAAGACAGTAAACCACGGATTAGCATATATTGAGCAGGATCCAAAGCACAGTCCATTGTTGAAAGTACACCATGTATACTTAAATCTGGAATTTCTCTACTTATATGAACATCCAAATTTCGTTCAATATGTAGATTTAAATGACACATTTCAGTGAGCAAAGATAATCCAATCTTTTTGATAAAAAATCCTCCAACCATTAGTGCATCTAAACTTTCTTGATCATCATATTTAGCTGTTATTCTTTCTGCTGCATAAACATCCATATTAACAAGTTCTAAAAGTGTAACATCTAAGAGACATTCTTCAATAACTGAAGAACTTTCAAAACTGTTTTGAACTGTTAATTCTCCAAGATCTAATAAGATTAATTCTTTAGACGTCGAGCTAACTGGAAGCAATATTACTGGAGCTCCAGCATGTAATTCTAATGACAAACGCATGCTTCTAGTTTTAGTATCTATTGTGACTCCAGTGTCGGCTCGTAAATTTGCCATAATAGTCCAAAGTTGTGAAAAATGACCAAAAAAGGCTTGAAGTTCCGCTACAAATCGTTGCGTGTGCACGTAATGAACGGCAGACATTTCCAATTTTAATCGAGCGTCATACGATCTTTCTTTGGAATCAATGTAACTTGTGTATTGAACATTCAATGCTTTTCTACCAGATGAAAGAAATCTCTCTCTGTAATATCTGCCATGTGGCGTCAGATCGAGCAACGACATCGAACCTAAAGATCCAGATATTTTTGTTTTACCATCTGCTTTTACAATAACCATACTGGCATTTGATACATTTGCTTTAGCAATTTCACGATCTGATTGTATTAATACCAAAGTAAGAGATCTCACTTCTATTTCAAATTCCGATTTCGAAGGAATATCGAAAATATCATTTGTTTCCTCTAGTTCTGTAGGTACTTGATGTGCATAAATTTTAGGATTTGTCTCTGATGGTCCTGCTATTCCAAAAAAGTCAAATACGACCATCCATGACTCCACACTTATTACTAAGTCTAAGCAATTAAAGTCTACAGTAACCATTTTTTGGAAATAATGTGTTCCTTCATAATCACTGTCTGGTTCTATCATTGTGATATTTATTAGAACTAAATTTTCTTCACTTGTAATTAGTCCAGGCGATGGTGGTGGTGTATTCGGAGTGCCGATTAAAGATGGCGGAGTTCTACGCCAATGTGCAGGAATTGTCCCAAATAAAGTATCTGCTTCTAATCTATCTGGTAAACTTCCTCTTCCATAATCGCTTCTAAATTGTTGGACAATAGCTAGATCAGGGCAAGATTTAGATACACCAGTAGGTAACTTGGCTCGAGCTGGAGCTGATGATTGCATCATATATCGATGTCGCGATCCAATAGGACAAAGAAGATCTTCCATGAGAAGAGAACGTAAAGAAACTTGCATAGTTGATTCGTTTCTCTGTAATTTTTCATATTTTGCAACAAAATCTCGCATTGACAATTCTACTAATGGTTGTTCAGAATGAGCTTGTTTTAATTCAATACTTAAGCTAGGTAGCTCGAACAATACTTTTATAAATAAATCCAATTTTTCAGAATAAATTGATGTTTTTTGTAAATTATGTGATGTTTGTATCACCGGTGTACTAGTAGGCATTGACATTAATCTGTTCATGGTATCCAATAATTGTTCATATTGCCCGCGTGATAATGAAACTTTTAAAGGTGTCAAGACAACCCCATGAACTTGAACTATCGGATTATTTACAAATTCTGCGTCTAATAAATAATTAGAACTCTGTGTCAATGTGTTTTCCTTTTCAACTATAATCTTCAACAATGTGTCATGTAATATTGGCTTGCCATACTCTTTACAAGAATACATTTCCTCAGCCCTCAAAGGTAAATTATTATGAACTTGATTAATATTTGCAGTAGTTTCAAGAGAATATAAATTTATATCTCGAACTTCCAAAGTTATTCTATGTTTCATCATAGAACTAGGCTGAGGTTCATGTTGAAGTGACATTGTACCTAAGTGTGCAACAAACACTTGTGTACTATGCGACGACCGTGGAATTACAAGCACTGGACTGTCCAATACTATATCCAGTTTTAAAGACAAAGTGCCAGAATTTTCTAAAGACATTGAAAGACTAGGTAAACGTTTGCGTGGTGGGATCGACCAATCTTCTGCATTTACTAAACCGAACGCCATATCTGTTGCTGCTGCACTAATTTGTCTAGCTAGATTACTCAAGTATTGTTTAAATTCATCGGCGCATGAACGTAATTCCGATAATAAATGTGGCGCGTGTGTGTACCACACACTTCCAACACGTATTGTTAGATCAACTGCAGTCTCTACGAGCTCTTGTTGATGATATATAGTATTACGTTTAGCTGAAAATCGAAATGCTTCTAATTGATCCGATATATTTGCAAAATATTCGGCCAATTGCTGTGGCGATTCGGCCAAGGGATCTCTGCCAACACTTAAAATTCTCTGATGAACTTTACCAATAGTAGTTTGATCTAATACTTGTAATCCTCCGAGAGATCCCGAAATAGATGTTTCTGTTGCCAAAGTAGCTTGTATTCGTGCATCCGACATCGTTGCGGTTGCAACTTTTTGACCAATTAAATGATTATCTTGCATAACAGCTCGAAGAAGTAATACGTTCAATCTATGAAAATCAAAAGTAATTTCTGTTCTTGTTGCTACTTTTGATCCTGTATCTTGATGTGATAATGATTCTTGTCTTTCGATCAATCCAGGCTTTATTTGTCGTGATGGTAAAATTCTTCGAAAAAATCCCATTAGTTCTACGATCGTTTCTTGATTAGCAATGATATCCAAATTATTAAATTGTATATTTGCCACTCTTAAATTTTCCAAAGGATCATAAACCAGTGTTAATTCTACAATAATTAAAGCTTCTGTATCCAGTTTATCCAATCCAATAAAGAAACTATTTCTAGGAGAGCTAAGATTAGCTAAATTAAACAAAGCATGAGTGAGAGCAACTGGAGTGGTTAATTTTTTAGAAATTGAAGGATCTGGGGATCCAGGTGATACCGGCGAGACTGGAGATGTAGGTTCAGAATCTCTCAAACTTCCAGATACGCTATCCATACCGACGTGTTTATGACTAGCAACCAGCAATTCGAAATCAGGACCAAATTCTTGAAGTGCATCTACTAACAACAATCCGTGAACCAATAATGAGGCACTCAAATCCACCGTTCTTTTACTTAAAGCTGCTCTAACGCCAGATACTTGTAATTCTGCAACACTACGTCCTCGTGATTGTAATTCGAATGTCATTTGATTGATAATAAATTGAACCATCATAGCATGGCTTACAGTACGTTCTTCGGCAATTTCTCCTTTTTTAGGACTTTCAGGTTCCATATTAATTATTTCCGATTGTGGAGCATTGGCTGATGCAGGAAAGCTTGATAATAAATTATACATCAAACGAATTGCTTCAACTTTTTGTTCGTTTACATGTACTACCAATCTTGGTAAATTTCCAGACACTGTTACAGATGGAAAATTTGGATCTGACGTAGTAACAACTCTTCTCTCAATTTGTAAAGATATATTGAATCTTTCTAAAACATGTAAGGTAGATGTTCCCCTAGATCGAACATGTTTCCAATTGTCTTTTACCTTTCCTACTAAGATTTGTAAATCTACCAAATCGACGGAATAATGATCATATAGCTTCTGATGCAATGCAGCTTCTGATAAACCTTGAAAATCATGTATGGAACCATTTTCTTGACTGCCAGGTGGTGTTGAACATGGAGTTTCAAATCTTTCATCTTCATCATCACTATTCGTCGAACCTGCTTTTATAGGTGCTTCGATGCTTTCTATGTTATTTGATAAACGTAACTTTCCAAAATCAACAACCACTACAGCTGCATTAGAATCTATAAAATTTTCTACAAGTAAAATTTGTGGAGCAGAGATATTGAATTGTAAATCCCAGGACGAACGATAAACAAATTCTCCATCCAAAATTTGTTCCCAATTTTTGATAAGTTGACGCCGCGTTCTTCGTTTCATTGCTTGTAATCTTTGATTTGACGAATCTCTATGTGGTTTGCACATAAAATCAATAAGCCAATGTATTACAGCTGGATTATACACCACATCCAAAGATTTTGAATAAACATGTAAAGAATGATCTGTACACAAGTGTAATGGTTTTTTCTCATAAATTAATTCAAATAATTGTTGTGGCACATGCTTTATCAATTTTTCAGACGAACCACGTGTACGAGATGTACTTATAACTTGAGGTTGTATCAATATAGGAAAAGTAGAGTTATCTGTTAAGTAATCGCGAAGATATAAGGCACCTAAACTTATAGAAAATTTATGAGATCCAGATCTAGGTCTGGACTCATAAATTAAATTAACTCGTTCAAATTGCAATTCTATTCTAGTCCTTGTATTATCACTACCCTTCTCTGCAGTAGAAAGAGATATTGCTCCCTTTGATAAAGTGAAATTAAATTGACCAAAAACTGTATCGCGACATAATAGAGTGTCATCCATTGTATCAGTCAATACATCCAATAATTCACCATCAAAGGTTGATGATATATTTTTGGTATCACTATGTGATGTCTTTGAATACCAGCCCCACCATTGTGGAAACCATTGCACTAATATCCCACGTGCTTGAGGAACATTGACATTTGAATTTTGTGCAAGTTTTGGAGGTCTAACTTTAAACATAGCTATTTCTCTTAATGCTTTAAGCTCTTCGAAACTACGTTCTTGTTCGACTTTCTCTTTTATATGTTTAGTTTCTGGGGGCAAAATAGATGTTGGTGTACCTGCAACGGCAATAACAATATATTTTTAATAATATTATTTTATATAGCATATATAATTGATAACATTAAATTATTATGCATACCTAGTAATTTAGTGCATGCTTCGACGTAAATAATATTTTCTTTGCCTCTAACAAGTATATCATTCCAAGATAATTGAGGTTTTAAAGTTTCTCTACCAATGTGACATCGTGCAGCATATTTCCACCATTCTTTAGGTGCAGTACTAATAGAAACATTCGGTCGACATCGTCTTTGTTGTTTTCGACGATCTATATCCTCCAATTGTTTAATGCATTCAACAATTTGTTCATATGCTTCCTACATTTAAGTATATATACAATTTAATTTTTTTTTTTTTTTTTTTTTTTTTTTGTATAATTTATGTTTATTTTATTATCAATATTTTTTTAATAACTAAAACTTACATCTGTGAGAACTAATGGTACCTCATCCAACAATAGATCCACTATAATCCTTGGTTTATTTAAAGATCTTAATGGACGTTCAGATCTATCTCTTTTGATGTGAGCTCTTGCACTCACAGGTGATAAAATGTGGTTTCTAATTAAATTTTTTGTTTCATTCATAGCAATCTATGTGTCAATTAACATTAGTCAAAAAAAGATATAAAGAATAGATATCATATGTATATGTTAGAAATTGGATATCTTGTTATGATACATACAGCTAGATCACCAAGATTAAGATGACTAAAAAGTTGTTCTTTCTTCACGTAATTCCAGTAAATAGAGAGCCTATCAAGTTCCATAAGTTTAAATGATGCATCTGTAAGATTCCATGAAGTGGAACCTGGTATCCAACTGGCATCGCAACTTTGTGCAGTCAATGCACCTATTGTAATACCCAAAGTAATGGCACCATCTACCCATATACATACAAATATATATATTAAAAATATTATTAATTATCAATTAATAACAAAAATTTACCATTTGATAATGTCAATCCATCTTCATATCTTATGTGAACATCTTTTATATTTAATTGTAAATTTTCTATAATATTTGTTACTAAAGAAGTGCCGTAATTCAACCAAGAACTATAACTAGTAGCATAATAGCCAGGATCTCTATCTGTATCAGCTCTCCATCTTGCTTCTAAAGAATCTAATCGATTAAGCTTATATTCCAAAAGCGCTTGTTCCTCTGCTTCATTATCATACTATTAAAATTTTCAATACGATCAATTATATTGTTGTAATTATATATTTTAATAAAAATCATGTTAAAAATATAAATAATAATAGAATAAATCCTTTTACCTCATCTATAGAAATTGGTCCTATTACTACATACAATTGTTCTATTGCTATGACCCATGACGCAGTCCTTATTTGCCTAACTGGTACTTGCAATCTAATTTTTCCAATAAATCCAGATTTAATTTCAATTGGTAAACCAATATGACGCAATGCTTCACGCTTTAAAGGTAAATTTTCCAATTCTACTTCTCCTGAAAGCAAACAAACGTATATAAATATAATATATAGATGATTCTTACATCATTATGAATCTATTGACTCATATCATGTAACAATTCAAAACTATAATAATATATGTATATATATATATTGATTAAACTTAATTTTAAAAACTACCTCATTAGTTTTCAACATAAATTTATATAACAAAGAACACAATTGCTTTTGTATTAATTATATTTATTAATGATTATAGAGACAAAGATAGGAGCTCCATGTAATATAGATAAAATATATATTTAAAAAAATGTTTAAACAAAAACTTTTTATTTAAGTTTTTTTTTTTCTCTTCTATATAAGTACTTAATAAAATTATTATAATAAAACTTTAACATACCTGACAAGAGTGCAATACTTAATTGATCTGTATTTAAATTCTCTACATATTTTCCTAAATAAGTATTTAGTACCCAGGCTACAAGTCCTTCCAACATTTTGAAAAATTCGTCGTAATAGTTAAAACTGTATTAACGTCCATGTATACTTTTGCAAGCATTAAGTAGTTTTTGTAGGTTAAATCGAAGAAATTTCAATTGGAATAATAAATGTATACAATGATAGAAATATCAAATTATAATAATAAGTTTTCAATTGACCTGAATTTCATTAACACTGTGTATATGACGCTTGTCATAATATTTTATACATTCCTTGAATTAATTAGCACTAATAAAAAAAAAAAAAAAGCACCGAACATTTGTCAACTTAGTTGACGATCACTGATATTAACATTTATTAATCCATATAAATATACGCAATTGTTATACGTTTAAACATATTTACTTAATGTTTAATAATTATTTCGATTCTTTTGCGAATATTTATTTTAAGTTTAATTATAAAAATAACTCGGTATCGAAGTATAAATATCCGACTATATAAGAGTGTATGATTTTTTTAACGTATATGTAACTCATGAGTGTCCATTTTGCCAACAGAGAAATAATACGAATATATTATAATATTATAACTTTATAAATTTTTAATCAGTATTGAGCTTTCATTTCAAACGTTATCGATGATCAAATATGAAGTAACCTTTGATTTTTTAAAACTAGAATTATTAACTCAATTAAATATTTACACCAATCCTATCGCTACATTCCGGAATAAGTTATCATTTATTGGTATATTACCAAGTTAGTAAAGAAATGATATATTTAACTATTGCAACATCTAACAAATACATATATATCGATATCAGATTGAAATTTTTTAAATATAAGTATTTTTTCTATAAGATCATAATTATATATCATTACATAGCATTTAAAATCACAAGAAAAGGTTAATCATAAGTTGTTTGTCGAAAGATCAATTTATTTAATAATTCGATATATTGAAAAAAATTTACAATCGCACGTTAATATTCGAATTATTTTCAATTACGAAAAAAATATCTAAAGGATAGAGAATATCAAGGACAAAGGCTTTTTATAATATTTATGTAAAGTTATTATATATTTACATGTTTCCACATATTTCCAATTTTTAAAAATAAATTTTTTATGAAATCCATATACACATAAATTACATTCAATAACAATGTGCTCAGTGTTAACATTTATATCTAGAAATTATAAGGATAAATAGATCGTTATTAGAATAAATTTTCTATAATTTGGTATTTTGCTTAATGTTATCTTAAATATTTACTTATAATTATGTAATTTCTATATTTGCTCATATCACACATTTTTATATAAAATATATTTGATCAATATTTGCTTATACCAAAGGTATTTGATCAACTCGTTTATTGGGATACAAACAAAATAAAGATAATTGAAATGCAGATAAAATGCAACCCATAAAGTTCGGCATTTGGATAAACTGGTCATTGATTAGATAGCCATATACAAACCATTGGCAAGATACTATTAAAGAAGCTAATATAATTGGAAATGGTAAACTTTCTGTATTCTTGATCCTTAAGACATGTGCCTGTAACAAATTTCAGTTTTATCATTTACATGTTTATATATATATGTATATATTATATATTTTTTATAAATTATATTCTATATACATGCATACAAATATAAAAATATCTAATCTTCATAAAAGAAAAAAAAAAGAAAGAAAATAAAAAAGAAAAAGAAAAAGAAAAAGGAAAGCATATAAAATTTATTGCTTACCAACATAACTAAAGGTGATGCAAAAAAGAGAATAGTAACACTACAGCTTATTAAACCAATATATTTTGCAGCAATTTCTTTATTTGTTTCATAAGCAACATAAAAATAAACGATTGCAAGGAAGCAAGTTGCTGCTGCAAATTGTCTTAGTGTTACTGATTTTTTTACACTGTATAGCATAAATATAAGAACATAGCATACTTGCAATATTGTTCCAAAAATATTTACTAATACTATAAAGGAATCACCAATTAAGAGTCCATATCTCAGCCACAAGCTACACCTATGAAAATTAACAAATTAGATGAGAAATGAAATATACTATCATGTATACATAAATTATAATTTATTTAATTTATTTCTAAATATATAAAATAAGTATACATACGACATATAACATGTTATAAATGCTAAACTTGAAGAATCACCAGTTGTACCATTTTTAATATATTTCCTGCAAACTAACCTACAAAACATATTTTTTATGTAAAATTCAATTTAGCATCCATAAGTATAGATAACAATCTTACTCACAAAATATAAGAATATGTATAGAATAAAATACAAAAAAAAGATTAATTTTAAATCCAATTTATATAAGACAAGAAAATAATATTATCATTGCAAAATCATTATTTGATTTAATAAAGCATGATTCTATAAAAAAAAAAAAATATGTTAAAATAAGTTATTACTTACACGCCAGCTAAAAATTGTAAAATTGTACATATTGATGCTGACGTTGCTAATATATTTTTAATCTCCGTCGAAATCATGATTTAAAATAATTATTCTATTATTGTCAAACAATAAAATTTTCATTTAAGATAAGATACATAATAAAATTAAAAGTATCATATCCTCGATAATCCATGATAAAAGCCGCGCTTACTTATATTCAATTTTCAAAAAAATATTTATTTTTATTAACGTGTTTACAGTAAGATAAAGAGACATATTCTCAAAATATTTCATCGAAAATAGCCTTAATTCAAGCTTCTAACTTCTGTACTGTTTTTATATTAATAAAAACTAGGTAATATTATAATTATTTTTTTTTCTATTAATAAAAATCATAAAAACGATTGTCACCAGTAAATTAATTATAATTAAATGCAATTCCATACGAGGGTACATTGAAATTTTTGATAGAGGGCAATTAATTATACATAAGAAAAAATTGTGCGAGTTTTGACTATCTAGATTCTCTTTGGTTTATGGTCGCATTATAGTTAAAGGGAAATTTAATAATTTTAGTGTCAACGTTGCAGTCCTATTCCGAATTCCGGATCCATAAGCTGTCTTGAAATATTGGAAAGGAAACGAAATTGAAACGGCATGTGCGAAGTTGCTGGTCAAAATGAAATTAACCAGAGTTATTGTTTCAAATGGAATGATTATCAGAATCATTTATCTGATGTAATTCGTCAATTATTGGAAGATGATTGTATGGTGGATGTTACACTTTCTGCAGCAGGAGAACGTATTCATGCTCATCGCATTGTTCTATCAGCTTGCAGCACGTTATTTCAAGTAAATAAATCAGCTAAGTGTGTATTTGAATTTGACACAATTTTAAACATAGAAAATGTTTTGCAAATCATTTTTCTATTTTTTTTCTTCTTTTTTTTTTTTTTTTTTTTTTTTTTTTGGAAGAACAATGCATAATAAAGTTTATTATTAAAAACGCATTTCTCAATCAAAATTTTTATTTGACCATTTCTTGTATCATGTATAGTAAATATGTATTCTTTTATATGCACAAACATTTGTAAACAATACATCTAATGATTTGTATTTGTATTTGTAATTTTATTACTATTATTATTATTATTATTATTATTATTATTATTATTATTATTATTATTATAATGTAGGAAGTTCTGAGTCAAGTTAATGAGGATCATCCTACTATAATATTAAGTGATATATCTGCTCAGGATATAAAATCAATAATTGAATTTACTTATCATGGAGAAGTACGTATTCCAGTAGAAAATATTAATAGCGTATTGGATGCTGCACGGTCATTAAAAATATGTGGACTTATCGAGGTTTGTATTGTTGTTGTTTTTTTTTTTTTTTTTCTTTCCATAAAAGTCTTATAATAATAAAAAATTGTATAATCTATTTACAATATGTATATATATATATTTATTTACAGATTGATGATCTTGACGAAAGTGATAATGTTATTGACAGTAAAGATGTAACTGATGATAATATTGACTCTATACCTGAAATTAATGAAACAGATGAAAGTGAGTTAAATACATTAAGTGATAAATGTGAAATAGAGAATTTAAAGGCCGAAGAAAAAACGACAGATAACTCCATTTTAAATAAAAAAAGGAAAAGAAGACGTGAAGCAATTAAAAGAGAATATAGCGATGACATGTTGGCATCAGCTATTAATGATTTAAGACTTGGCCAAACTTTAATAGAAGCAGCTACAAAACATAACATACCACGTTCGACATTATACATGCGTGCTAAAGCATTGGGTATACATTTAAATGCATCTAGGAATGAATATCCTGCTGAATGTATGAAAGCAGCAATAAATGCTGTAATCGGTTAGTATCTGTCATCATATTATTTTGTATTATTTTATCATTAAAACAAATGATAAAAATGTTGTAAGATTATTATAGGAGGTTCTAGTCTACAACATGCATCAGAAATGTTTAGTATTCCTAAAACTGTATTATGGAGACGTATACAAAAGGAAGGATATCAAATATTACGTTCAGAAATGAAAAGATCTTATGGTTCAGATAAACGTGAAGCAGCTGTTAAAGCTTTAGAAAGAGGAGAAAATTTAACTAAAGTTGCTCTTGAATTTAAGGTGATTTTATATTTAATTTTATTATATATTTCATTGATTTCTTATATTTTTATACTTATATATTTATTCTGTAGATACCTAAGACAACATTATTTAGGGATAAAGCGAGATTAGTTGACGAAGGCAAGTTGCCACTTTCATTTTGGAAAAAACGTAAAACAGAAAATGAGGAATTGAAAAAGTCAAGATTAGAAGAAGCAGTAGCTGCTTGTAAAGGAGGAAAAATGTCTCAAGCAGCAGCATCTATGGCTTATGATATACCAAAGACTACAATATGGAGGCGGTTACAACAAGATAGTAAAAAATCGGAAAGATCAACAAATAAAAAAAAGCAACAGAGGACCATTGAAACAACATCAAATATGGTAGATAAGCCAAAGCAAGAAACCTCAGATTTTGCATATTGCGAGGTAATATATTCATAATATATTATAATATTGTAATAGAAGATAATAATAATTAATTATAGGTTGCATCAGAAATTCCAGTAACATATATAGATGAAAATAGCATACCAGAGGATTCTGTTATTATTTTAACAACAGAGGATATGGATGGTCTTAATTTAGAAGAAGGAAGACAAATCATTGTAAATTCTGTAAGTAAATATATTTTTTTCCCCATATGAATAACATATTTAATTATTTCTATTAAAGTAATTTTTCTTTTAGGTATCAAGCCATGAATATATTCCATGTAATATAAATATAGAAGATAATTCTAATTATACACAACCAGAAAGTTAATATCAGTAATACAAATGAGCTATACAAATAATTTATACTTTGTAGCTATTGAAAAATATTGATCCATTAACCATCTGTTTATTACATTCAACTGCATTTTATATTTATCATTCACTTTTTGTTATGACTATGATTTAATTTATCTCTTAATTTATTATAGATTTACAAAACTAAAGCGACGAATTATTTTCTGTAATATGTATATATATAATATATATGAAAAAAAAAAAAAAAAAATTAAAAAAAAAAAAAATTTATATATAAATATATATATATATATATATATATTGTAAATAATGTTCGATCACTTATTTATTG